ACCCTCAGTATTCACTCTGGTGAAGTCTTCTCTTCACTGTTGACTTTGACACAAATACCTCCTGGAGACTGTTCTTGATCTGGCCAACTGTTGTGACGGGGTTTTCTTTACCAGGAAAAGGATTCTTCTGTCTCCCACCACACTTGTTTCCAGTAGTCTTCCAGGTTCTTTGGTGTTGCTGAGCTCACCAGTGCGTTCTTTCTTAATAACGTACCAAACAGTTGATTTGGACCCACCTAATGTTTTTTCTATGTCTCTGATGGGTTTGTTTTGATTTTTCAGCCTCATGATGGCTTGGCTTCAGTGGCAGTGACAGCTCTTTGGACTTCATATGGAGAGTTCACCTCACCAGATTCCAAACGCAAATACCACACTTGAAATGAAGTCTAGACCTTTTACCGGCTCCTATTGTCCAATTACTTTTGGTTCCTCAAAATGGTGGAGGGCACATATAGAATGTGCTTTAATTTCTACACTGGTCACCTGGTTTGGATGTAAATACCTTCAAATTAAAGCTGAAAGTCTGCCCTTAAAGCACATCTTGATTGTTTCATTTTAAATCCATTGTGGTGATGTGTGGAGCCGAATTACTGAAAATTGCGTCAATGCCTAAATATTTATGGACTTGACTGTGTTTTTGGTTAGTGTTAGATGTTTTGCTCAAGGACTCTTCTACGTACGTTCTAAATCATAAAGGAAAGACAGCAGAAGACAGTCACACATAATTTGGAGTTTTAATATTGGGGTGTTGGATTGCTGCATGTGATTGGCTCACCTGTATTATGATTGGCTGCATGTCTGTTCAGCATTGATGCTGGAATATGAAATATTCATTCATAAGGCTGTGCTTCAATAGGTTTATATCAGTCATGTTGGTTCTGTAAGTTTGAACATTTTCAGCACCAGTCGAATGTCTGGACACACCTTCTCCTTCAATAGTTTGTATTTATTTTTATTTATCATCACCGGATACATGTTGGTAAGAAGAGGAACCATTAACTGCTTTAGCAATGAGTTCATCCTGTGGACATCCTGGGGACAGTGGCCTCATGTGACCTGTCCAGACATGACCTGGTTTAAGGACGCTAACCTTTCTTGCTCTCTTGACATTTTCACCCCTCGTCTCATCTTTAGCTGTGCAGCTTTAATTCAATGGTTACATGAAATCGCCTTTAATTCATTGCAATGTTACAATAACCATTTCATATTTGAACATTTAATCACCAGGTTACAGCATTTCTTATCTTAGTCTTTTATATTGCTAATGCCAGGCCATTGTTCTTTGTTAGTGGCTGCTTCTGGGATCTCAATCCTTGGCCTCACTTGATGACATATATGGAATTATGTAGGAAATAAAAAAAATGTTAAACAAACCAGAATATGTTTTCTATTTTAGATTCCTTAAAGTAGCCTCCTTCTGCTTTGATGACAGCTTTACACACTCTGTTTCTCTCAATCAGCTTCATGAGCTCGTCTCCTGGATGGTTTTGAACTAACAGGTGAGCCTTGTCAAGAGTTAACTTGTGGAATTACATGTTTTAATGTGTCTGAGACCATCAGTTGTGTTGTGCAGAGGCAGGGGTTAGGACACAGTGAACTGTTGTTGTAATCCTAAGTATGACAAGAACCAGTCAAGAGAATTGAGTCCATCACTTTAAGACATGAAGGTCAGTCGATCAGGAAGAACTTTGAATGTGTCAAGAGCAGGTGCAAAAACAGTGAAGTGCGATGATGTGGAGGAAGACCAAGAGTGACCTCTGCTGCAGAGGAGAAGTTCATCACAGTGACCAGCCTCACAAACTGCAAACTAACAGCCTCTCAGATTAGAGCCCACATAAAATCTTCACAGAGCTCAAGCAGCAGATGAATGTCAATGTCAACTGTTCAGAGGAGACGGAGTGAATCATCCGTCATGGTGGAACTGCTGCAAAGAAGCTACAACTGAGGATGAACAAGAGGAAGAGAGTTGTTTGGGCCAAGACACACCAGGAATGGAGATCTGGACTTTGGTCTGATGAGCCGGAATTTGAGATTTTTGACACAGAAGGTGAGCAATGGTTTCTGCATGTGTGGTTCCCACTGGGAAGCATGGAGGAGGTGTGATGGTGTGGGGTGCTTTACTGGTGACACTGGTGGTGGTTTATTCAAACTTCAAGACACTCTTAACCAACATGTCTATCGCAGCATTCTGCAGCGCCATCCCATCTGGTTTGCTCTCACGGGAAACATCATTGGATTTTCACCAAGACAATGAGCCCAAACACACCTCCAGGACACATGAGGACTGTTGGACCAAGAAGGAAAGTGATGCAGCGCTGCATCAGATGACCTGGCCTCCACAATCACCAACCTAATACCAACTGAGATGGTTTGGGAGGAGTTGGACCTCAGAGTGAAGGAAAAGCAGCCAACAGGTGCTCAACACCTCTTCAAAACTGTAAGGAAACCATCCAGGAAAAAGGAAAAACAAAAGGACCTTAAGGAAAGTCAGCAGGATCCTTCAGGACCCAACACATCTGCTGTTCCCTACATTTGAGTGGCTCCCCTCTGGACGTCGCCTTCGCTGCTTAGGCTCAAAGAAAGAGGGCAACTTTTGTTCCAAGTGCTGTCCTCCTTCGAAATGCACAACCATCTTTGACCTGCTGACTCACACGTAATATAATGTAATGTTTATGATGTGGTTTGTTTTTTTGTATTTAATTTTTTTTAAATGATGTCTTTATATTAAATACTCTGTGCTTTTAAATTGCCCCGAGGGGATAAATAAAGTTATTTCAATTGAACTGAGATGAATCCAGGAGACAAGCGCATGAAGCTGACTGAGAGAACACCAAGAGTGTGCAAAGTTGTCATCTTGGAATTGTCCCGATCGACTGACCTTCATGTCTTTTCTCATTTTCTCATTTCCCTTCTGGGATAAATAAAGTATTTTTCATTTCATGTCTTAAAGTGATGATGGACTGTTGTTTCCAGACTGGTTCTTGTCATACTATAGATTACAAAAGTAGTCAAACTGTGTACTAACACAACTGATGGTCTCAAACACATTAAAACAAGTAATTCCACAGACTGACTCTTGACAAGGCTCACCTGTTGGTTCAAAACCATCCAGGAGACGACCTCATGAAGCTGATTGAGAAACCAGGAGTGTGTAAAGCTGTCATCAAAGCAGAAGGAGGCTACTTCAGACAATCTACAACATATTCTGGTTTAACACTTGTCTATTTACTACATAATTCCATATGTGTTCTTTCATAGTTGTTTTCAGTAATAATCCACAATGTAGAAAACAATTAAAATAAATAAAAACCGTTGAATGAGGTGTGTCCAAACCTTTGACTGGTGCTGTAGTTTATTTGTGTCATTTCAGTGGGTCAGCTTGACAACACAGTTCTGTTACTGTAAGCTGTTCCACCACTGTTCACTCTGTCAACTTGTACATTTGATGAATACGGGTGATTTGTTCCCAGCATCTCCATATTTAGGTCATTGCTTGCAGCTTTTAAGGCTTCTTCTTATAAACTGTTCTTTGCATATTTGTGCATTCAGATCAGTTCCTTCAAGCTACATTTCAAAGGCATCTGTCTGTGCGGACATTTGGCAGGTTCCTGCGTCGTACCGTTTTGCACACTTCCTCTTGATAAAGAAAAGGTTGGCCATGAAGGAGTGATGGTGTTTGGTGCGACAACACTGTTGATCACCTACTGAAGCCTGGAGAACAAGAACCAGAACCCTAAATCAAACCTAAATTTAAAAATATACAGGCTAGAAGCAGTGGTTGCAGCCAAGTCAGGAAAAAAACAGGAAAATTGCCAGCTGTGTGAAAGTTAATAAGCTTATTAATACATCTGGCCCTTTGTTAAGGCACACATAGATGTGAGCCTTGTTCTAGTCGAGTGTTACATTAAATATGCTCTTCAGATGTAGCCTGTTACTATGATGTATAACACTATTTTAGCCTCAGTGTTTCAGCTGCAACCCTGGCAGTGGTAAACGGTCTTGGAAGCTGGTAAAGAACAAATATAAAAACATTTCTCACACTGGCAAGTAGAGTCAACAACTACGCATTTGTCACGCTTTATCGGTTTCAATTTTAGGAATTTATTGCAAGACAAGCAACAATAAAATGTTGTAGAAATCAACCGGAAAAGCAAAGAAGACTGGAGTTTCCTTTACTGAGAAGGTCTTCTGTCTTAAATAATGGTTTTTAGATGGTGTCTACAAACTGTTAAATACTTTTGAAAGCCAAAGAAACCATAAATCACCACTTCGCAAACCATTTTTTACACCACAGAGTTTTTAAACAAACCTATGTGTGGTCACTGAATGCTGCTTTTAACAAGGATGGTGGAAAAAGCTGTTTTATGGCACATTTGTCTTCTGTACTATCTGTGCAGAGAGCTTTGCTGTATCTACAAACGGTGATGTGGTGTCTTCGTACACGTTGAGCTGTGAGAGAATCCACCATTGTTCAGCTGGCCTAACTAATGCACATCTACTGAATACGGGTCATTAACACCGTTGTCCAGCCAGTTCTGTTGTTTGCAGCATTTCCAAAGACGCCGATCGGTCTCCTCACCTCTGCAGCAAACCTTCTCCTCTTGCGACGCAGTAAACCTGCCAAATGTCTGACACTCTCATTTTCTTCGCCTTGAAGGCATGGATCTGAATGAACAAACTTGCGAAGCACATTTTACAGGCAGAGACCTAAATATTCAGATTAAAAAAAAAAAAAAAAAAACACCCTGAAAGCAATGACCTAAATGTAGGAAATATGAAACGTCTGAAGGAGTCGGCATTTAGAATCGCAGCCGTAAAACCTGTGTTTTTAGGCACCATGTTGAAATTACAGGTTCAAGCTTATAGACCAAACATTACAGACTCAAAGCTTCATCTTTATGAATGTTTTAATATTCCATACTAATAACCGCCACTCCAGAAAGCATGGTGTGCAGTCTGAGTCCGGGATGTTGTTAAAGCCAACGCCCTGACCCCCACAGGTCATTTTGGATCTCCCAGTGTCATGGTGCAGCCCACATCAGCAGCCAAACCCTGCACAGAACTGAAGACACGTGAGTGTGACACATCGGGGACAAAGTTGCAGCCGTAACGGTTTGAACCTCCAGGAAATAACTGCACTTGGTCAGGAAATAGGTGCCACATTTTGTTTGGATTAAACAAATGAGATCCAGGGTGTTAATTACTGAGCTTTACAGGTGCTGGTAAGCAGATTTCTTTTACTCTTGGAGAGAGAGCCAAGACAGTTCTTAGGTTTCTAGCGTTCATGCCAAGCTAACATCCTCCTGCTGCAGCAGCTTCCAATGGAACAGGCAGATTAGTGGTGTAGATCTCCTCCTCTAACCTTCAGCAAAAGAAAGGTGAATGTTTCATCTGGTTATGTTGATACAACAAACTTTGTATTAGGTGCAAACTAATGCAACAGTTCTGGTATGAATTCAACCTGCATGATCATCATTATTTGTCGTCGAAAAGGTGAGAAATCTAGTTTGTTACTGAGGTCATCGTGAGTGGTGGCGCTGCACAGGACTGCATTATGGTTAAGGGTTCCTAATATTTTGTCCACTGCATTAAAGGGTTATGCCAGAGGGTTGGATGAGGTACCGAGTGTAAAACCTGCAGACATGGTGGTCGAAGTCACATTATCATTGACATATAATCTTCTAAAGCACTTTATGTTTTGCGATTCTGTGTTTGTAATATTCTCGCTGCATTATATTTGTGTGACACGTGTGTCCCCATGTGTTTGAAATTCCTCATTCCAGTGCATATTCCAACTGAATTCACTTTTTTAATATCTAAATCTGAGCCGGCTTCACTGGGCTTCTCTGAGAAGTCAGAATTAATCAAGAATAACATTCAACCACTCAAACTAATTTTTCTGTTCAGGAATGCAAGTAAAAAGATAAACACAAAATATCAGTTTGGTAATTACCAATGCTGTTAATCTAGGGCAGCTGTGCTATAAACCTTACACTGGGTTGCGGTCTAATACATTTAAGCGCTGTATAAGTTATCCAGTTAGGAAAATGTGCGATCAAAATAAAGGACAGCCTAGTCACAACTCCCAAACTAGACATGTCCACCACCCAAAGTGAAGAGTCAGATTCATACATCAAGCTCTCTGGTCTGACCAAGTAGCTCAGGTTGGTAGACGTTAGTCTAGAGATCGGAAGGTTTGGGTTCAAATCTCACAAGAGCCAGGAAGTTTTTAAGTCCACCACCTAAAGTGAAGAGTCAAAGACTCAGAGGAATCATGAACACCTGTCTGATCAAGTAGCTCAGGTTGGTAGACGTCAGTCTAGAGATCGGAAGGTTTTGGGTTCAAATCTCACAAGAACCAGGAACTTTTTAAGTCCACCACCCAAAGTGAAGAGTCAAAGATTCAGAGGAATCAAGAACTCTTGTCTGACCAAGTAGCTCAGGTTGATAGGCAACTGACTGGCAATCTTAATGTCGTGGGTTCAAATCTTTCAAGAGTCTGTGAGTTTTTAAGTCCACCACCCAAAGTGAAGAGTGAGAGTCAAAGACTCCGAGAACCAAAGAGCTTATGTCTGGGCCGGTAGCTCAGAGGGTTGGAGGACTGGTTGGCAGTCTGGAGGTCGAGGGTTCGAATCTTATGACAAGCTGTAAATTTTCAAGACCAACACCCAAAGTAAGAAGACAAATACGCCCGGAGAACAGTTCCAAGGGCCCGGGAAATGGCGCACTGTGGTGGGTCGCAGCCTCTGAACGCTACAAAGTCTGATGGCAGACAAAGCTGAGATGTGAGTTCGAATCCACCCTTGAGTCAGGAACCGGAGTGAAGCGGACCTCACGGCTGGCTGGACAGCGGTGGGGGTCGGGGGAGGGGCCGTGTCCCTCCCCCGGCGTTTCTAAGGTCCATAAGTAGGGGGTTATA